GCAAGGATGTACAATGTAATAGGGCATATAAACAGAAGCAAGGATAAAAACCATATGATCCTTTCAATAGATGAAAAAAATACCTCTGGCAAAATTCAACACCCTTTCATGATAAAAAAAAGCTCTGAAAATATGGAAGAAATGTTGAAGAAATTTTCTTCAACATGATAAAGGCTAAATATGACAAACCTATAACCAACATTATACTAAATGGAGAACCACTGAAACCATTCCTGCTAAAGTCAGGAATGAGACTGGGATGCCTGCTTTCCCCACCTCTATTCAACATATCGCAATAAAGTCTTTTGCACTGTAAAATAAACTCAATATATTGAATTTTCTTTTGTATTAATTTAGTTCTTTTTAAAAATAAACTTTTGTATATTCATGGGATAAAATGTAATATTTTGAACTCTACATGCATTGCAGAAAAATTCCATCAACTAATTAATGTGCTTATTACCCCAAAAACTCATTATTTTTGGAGAAGAGCAAATTAAAATACATTCTCTTAACAATTATTCAATATATGATATATTATTTTTAACTATGGTCTCCACACAATGAAATAGATCACTGAAACTCAATATTCCAGTTTAGTTGTAACTTTGCACCTTTTAGAGTTACAGGGCTTTTTTGTTGTTTTGTTTTTGGCAGTAATGGGGTTTGAACTGAGGACCTCATACTTGCTAGGCAGACACTCTGCCACTTGGGCCACTCTGCCAGTCCAAATATGTACATGCTACATTGTTTTTTGGTATTGGGGTTTGAACTCATGCTTGCTAGGCAAGCGCTCTACCACCTGAGTCACTCCGCCAGCAGTACCTTTCATTTAACATCACTTCTTTCCCCTTGCCTCCCTCTTCCCTTGCATCCTAGTCTCTGGTAACTAACTTTCCAACTTTCTGTTTTTATGAGTCTGACTTTATAAAATTCTATATAAAGGATCACACAGTATTTATCTTTACATTCCTGACTTATTTAAGTTGACAATGTCCGCTGATTGAATCTGTATTTGCATAAATGATGGCATCACCTTCTTTTAAAGGATACACAGTTTTCTTTGGGTATATATGACATATTTCCTTGACCTGTTAATCATTCATGGTCAAGGGTACAAACACAACTTTGCTATTAAGATTAATGCCAAAACTAACATGGGCTATATCTTTCAAATATTGAATTCATTTCTTTTGGATGTATATCTAGAAGCAGTATGCTGAAACATAAAATAATCCTATATTTAAGATTTTATATACTATTTTCCAAAAATCTGTATCAATTTATACTTTAACAAAAAATATACAAAGGTTTCTTATTCTCCACATCCTCACCAACACTTGTTATCTTTGATTTTGAAGGGTAGCCACTGTTTTTTTTACTATAAATTTTTGTTATGATATATTTATTTATGGGGAGTATTTTCTGTGACAATTCCCAGTTGGGCTTATATTGCACATTATTTACATTGCCTCCATCGTCTCTCCCCCTCGGCTCCCTCCCCACCCCACTTAAAGCAATTGCAAAAGGTTTTTTAGTTCTGTTTCATATAGGTACATGAAGTCAATCAACCATATGCCCTCACCTCTATCTCCTTCCTTCACCTTCTCCCCTCCTACTAGTACACCCCAACACACACACACACACACACACACACACACTGTGCCTATTTTTTCATCCTAGACACTCTTACTGTTATGATATAATATCTAATGAGATTTTGATTTGAACTTTTCTGATAATGGAAGTGTGGAGCATTTTTTAAATATATATTGGACATTTGATTCAACATAGCAGCAGAAATATTTGCCAAAGCAAAGAGGCAAGAAAAAAATGAGAAACATCTGAATAGGAATGGAAGAAATGATGTTGTCTTTGTTTGCTTATGATATGCTCTTATACATATCAAACACTAAATATTCCATCAAGAAACCTATTAGATCTAATAAATACATTTAGTGAACTTGCAGGATAAAAAAAATCAATGTACAAAAATTAGTAGCTACTACAAATACTAACAATGAACTGTTTGAAAAAGAATGTAAGTAAACAATCTCATTTGAAATCACATAAAAGTACTTAAGAATAAATTTATCCAGGGGAAATGATCTATATGATGAAAAATATAAAACGTTCATGAAAGAAATTACAGAAAGAACAAATAAATGAAAAATGTTCTGTGCTTGTAGGTAGGAAGAATTAATATTGTGAAAATCTCCACATTCTCAATAATGATTTGTAATCAGTATAATTCCTTTCAAAATTTAGATGTCATTTTTGACAGAAATAGGAAAAATAATCCTAAAATTCATATGGAAATAAAAAAATGCCCCAAACGTGAAAGAAATCTTGAAAATAAAGAATAAGGATAAAGTAATCAGACTCCCTGATTTTGCTATATATTGTAAAAATTATTGTACAAGTGACTGGTATGAAAGCGATATATAAAGATGAGTGGAGGGGTTCAAGATTAAACTGTGTGTGCATCCTAAAACTGGAAAAGCAAAAGAAACAAATTCTCTCCTAGAATCTTCAGAAGGTAATGCAGTCTGCCTTAACCGATCTGAGCCCAATACAACTGTTGTTATAATTCTGCACACCAAACATACAATATAATAAATTTTTGTTGTTCAAGACAAAAGCCTGTGGTATTTTGTTTTCTGTTGGTGGTAGTACTGGTGCTTGAACTCAAGAACTATTGCTTGCTAAGCAAGTTCTTTACCTCGACCCTGACGCCAGTCCAGTTTGTGGTAATTTTAACCAACACAAGAGAAAACACAGTATCTCATAGCTAAGTAATTTTTCATTCCAATTTCAAATTCCACATTATCTTCAAAGGGGGAAATCATACCCCATCTGCCTGATCCTTCCCCAAAACTTCCATATTTTCTCTTTTCTTCCTAAATTCCACAGGACCAGAAGAGGTGGCTTTTATCAGTACAACTACATCATATGTTAGTTCTAATAGAGTGACAAGTTTAAAGCCTTTGAATAACAGAGAAAAAGACTGGAAATCAGTACACCAAGCTCAGTGAAAGACACAGCAAAGGATATATAAATTTAGAAGCTCTACTCCCAAGAACATGTTCCCAAGGACATGAAAATACGTTGTAAAACAGAAATTAAATATTCATTGTCCAATATTTGCAAAAATATTGTCCCCATTAACTATGGGCTACCGATGGCTGTGTTCCTCTCAAGAAAGTGAGGATGACAGCTTGCTTTATATAATTCTGGCTGAAGGACACACAGGTAACACTATGAACTCCAAGCCATGACTAAATTAGAAGAGTATTATTGAAACAATAAAGGTATGATATCACGATGCAAGTCTTTGTATTGCATGTAACAATTGCATATCCAACAAAAATCAGTCTGTGACACACATACAGAAAATGGAATGGTTACATGTATAGGGAGTCTGTAATCACAAGGAGTGGCTGGCTTAGAATGGAGCCAGCACACTACGAGGCACTGTACAGATGCGATGGGAAGAACCAGAGACTGAGGAAACCGAATTCTAAAGATACTGAAGCCAGTCTGCCCACCTGGGCTTTTGGTCTATAAGACTTAACAAATTGCTTTTTCTTCAAATAAATTTCTTTTTCAAAAAGCTGAGAATGAGAGAAATGTGATGACACATTAGCAGGAGGAAACTTTTCCTTCATTGTACATATTCACAAAGTCTTTGCTGTACAATCAGGAGACTAAAGAGTACACACCAGCAAAACAGCCACAGAGACAACGTGCACAGTTTTGGAAGGGGAAAAATATCGCTATCACTTATTTATCCAACAGTTGAGAATGCACACCTGTAATTTGAAGTAATAGTCAATTCCAGAAGAAAATGTATTTAGGGGCTAAGGAAGTTTAATCAATAAACTAAAAAGTAGAAATTTTGAAAGAATTTACAAAGTTTAATTTTTGATGCAAAATGCTACTTTAAACTATTTTATGTATATTAATCATTAAGTAATTATATCTTTTAATTAAAATTAAAATACAATTTCTTTTAAATATTATTTTTGGCCACATAGAATTAGTCATTTTGAATTCTTCAAAAACACCTGTATTACATTTACTTTATCAATATCATTTTGCTTTGCATATTTTTATATTGGAGTATATATGACATACACATATGTATATGTATATTGGTATGCTTATACATACATATGAAGAGTTTGAAAAACATTTAACTCAAGATCTCCTTAATCGTGCATAAATACTTTTAAACAGAGGATTTACACATTATAAATCTTCTTTTAAAAGAATGTAAACTCAAAAGAGTTCTAAAACATGACATATGGCAACACAAGATTTCATTCGTGTTATGGACCTAATAATGTGATTACTCAAAACTTGGTTTCATTCTTGAATATAGATATAAAACAAAAAGTAATATTTAAAATATACAATAGCTAATTTGAGGACCATAACAACTTATTGCTAAGAAAAACATACCTAAACTGTTTTTCATTCATTGAACAACATGTATTAGGTTCTTACTATGTGCTAAAAAAAGTGGAATACACTCTAATTTATTTAAACTAGAGTGTAAAAAGTAAGCAAGAGGGTCCAGGCATAGATGCACATATCTGTAATCCCATCCCTTCAGAAAGTTCATATCAGAAGGGTTTTGGTTATAGACCAGGCTTGACAAAAAGTTAATGGGACTGAATCTCAGCCATAAATGGGGCATGATGGTTTATGCCTATCATCCAGCTGTGTAGGAGGCAAAATTAGGATAGCTATCCAGAGCAGTTTGGGTAAAAACACAAGAGTCTACCCAAAAAAATAACTAAAATAACTGGAGGCATGACTCAAATGGTAGAGCACTATCATGAGGTCCTCAGTTCAAACACATTACCACCATAGAAAGGGAGGTAGGTATGGTGGGGGGAGAGACAGAGAGAGAGACAAATAGACAGACAGAGATAGAGAAGGAGGAGAAGGAAGAGGAGAGAGGAAGGAAATAAGGACAGTTTCCTAAAAAATGTTTATTTCTTGACCACTTTTCTCAGTGAATCTAAAACTTCCTTGTTTCTTAGGCTGTAAATAAAGGGGTTTAGCAGAGGAATTATAATGGTGTAGAACAGTGAGTACACCTTATCACGATATTTATCTGGGCCAGATCCAGGGAGCACATACATGAGGAAGAGAGTGCCATAGAACAAAGAGACAGAAAGCAGATGGGCACTGCAGGTGGAGAAGGCTTTGCTTCTGCCCTTCTCAGACTTCTTTTTCAAGATGGCAAAGAGGACACGGGCATAAGAAACAATGATACTCATAAAAGTAAATTCTTGTATAAAAATGGCAAAAATAAAAAGCACTAATTTATTAACTGATGAGTCATTGCAAGAAATGGCATACAGTGGTGTGATTTCACAGTAGAAATAATTTATTATAGAATATCTGCAGAAAGTTAATCTAAATAGTAATCCTACATGAATTGTTGAATGAAGAATTCCAATTACATATGGAATACTTATCAACCAAGTGCAGAGTTTGTTGGACATCACCACTGGATAAAGCAAGGGATTACATATGGCTACATAGCGGTCATAGGCCATCACTACCAGGAGGAAACATTCTGCTGTTGCACTGAAACAAAAAAAATAAAATTGGGTAAAGCACTCAGCAAGAGATATCCTATGATCCTTAGTTAAAAAATTAATCAACATCCTGGGAGTCACAGAGGATGACGTGCATACATCTGAAAAGGCTAAACTACTGAGGAATAAGTACATGGGTGTGTGAAGGTGGGAATCCTTCCAGATGAGTGCAATCAGCCCAAGGTTGCCCACCATGGTGATGAGGTAGATGACCAGGAACACCAGGAACAGGGGCACCTGCAGCTTGGGATGATCTGTAAGTCCTGTGAGGACAAACTCAGTCACCAAAGTCTGATTTTCTTCTGCCATATCTCATCTGGACAATCATTAAAATAAAAGAATTGAGGATTTGTTCATAAATGAATCATAAAAATGGTAGCATTTTATGTGACTAACATAGTCCTAAGAGATGCTTCCCAGTTAATTACTATTTGTTGTAATAAAGTAAGCTGGGAATTCAAATAGAGTAACATGGATATTTAGATTTTTTATGATTTCGATAATATAATATTGTGTTCATGTACACTTTGTTTATTGGCAATATCATAAATATATCACTTTTTTGCTTTCATTAAGTTTTTCATGATTAAGGAATGGTTTCTTAAGGAAATCACAAAAAAGTCATTTAATATTTTTGAAAACAAACTAAATACATGGAGAAATGCAGACTATTGTAGTATTTTCCACATTTGAACAAAATTTCCATAATTTTATTCTCATACCCTCCCAATACTTAGGTAATATAAAATATTTTACTCTGAGAAAATATTAGAAAATAGGATTTGTTTAATTTTAAAATATGAATAAGCATTATTTTTCAAAAAAAAATGAAAATCTGCAGCAGAATCATTTGTAACAGTTTGATTTATCATCTATGAAAATAAATAACAAATGAATTTTAGATAAATTTTGTAAGTTCTTACACAAAGAGAGCACTAACATGCACAAGAATAAAAATACTTGAAAACTGAGACTCATAAGAGTTTTACCCTGTATAAAATTGTCTAATTTTCTTTATAAATATCAATAACCAAATTATTGAAATTCCTGGTTTTAATTTTGGCAAAATACAATTCAAGAAATAATACAGGTGTTTGTAAAAAGACACAAGAAATCCACTGAATTATCTTAGTGGACATTACACATACTCTCATGATTTCATGTAATTACAGAATTCTTATTTCACACAACCACTTAAACCTTAAGCCTGATTTTCTTATTCCAAAAAATTTAAAATAAGTGACAATAGATCATCATAGCCTATGTCTCAGTTAATAAAAGTTTTCACACAATAGAAACAAACTCTCATTATGTTATTAATTTTTAAATTTCCTAGTTTTCATTTGTCTATTACTCAATATTTATTCTAAAATTTTCAGCCAATTTTTGTAACCTTCATAAACAGCAAAATTTCTAACTCTATTCTACTTGTTCAGATAGGCGTTTTTATTTGCCTACTCCAATTTTGGTTACTAACTTTTAAAAAATTGTTTCTATACTTTTAGTTTCTTTCTTAGTTATTTTGTTATCTGACAGTCATATTTCAAAACTATAAGTTAAAAAACTCATATCTCCACTCTCACCAAATTCTTGGGAATCTGTAAAACTAGAAGTGTGCCCTTTTCTAACAGGTACAGAAAAGGTATAGAAAGAAGCAGCATTATTTTGTAGTAATTTTTGGTGGATAGTGCACACTGGAGGAAAAAAACATTTATTTATTATACCTTAAACTTTAAATTCCCTTAATGTTTCCTAGAGATTCCCAGCAGGTTGAAGTCAAAGTTGTTCTTCTGGGCATTGTGAGATAATCACCAAATTATCCACACAGCTGGTTATAACTACAACCACACACTGTGTCCTAAGGGTTCAAAGCAAAGGCTCATTTTCAAATATTGCTGAGGGCAGTGTTTAGCATAAGCTGGTTTTCATTTCTGTTATGTGTCTTACTAATTTATAACTTAAATATGCAATAAAAGTGATTTCTATTTAGACATCCCAAATGTTCTTTAGATCTAACATGTCCAAATCTGATTCTAAGATCTTTGCCAATTCCAACCCCTAACCTGGTATTCTTCCAGTGTTTCCATTCTCAGAGAACAGTGTCAGCATTATGCAAATAATAATCCAGGGAAATGGCTGTCAGAAACCTCACCTCAGTGCCATTGTCTACACCATTGGCAAGTCCTCTAGATTTTATCTAATAAAGATACATCCATCTCTTCCCAGGACTAACTGATCAACCTTTCCACTGTAATTTCTTCATGTTCTCACAGTCATTGAACTTATTTCTCACATTGTTACTAAACTGATCTTTATAAAATTTACATGATTTTAACACCAACCCTTAAACATAATCTCCCTCCAGTTGAAGTATATAACTTTTCATTGTACATAAAATAGCAACTAAATTTTTAAGCCTTATTATCCATGCCCCTTTAATGAAAATCCTTTACACAGATGAGGAATTTTTCTGAGTTTGTAATCTACATATTTACTGTAATCCACAGTATTTTAATGGATTGACACAATACAAATTTAGTCCTTCATGAAAAGTTGTAATGTACATGCTCACAACTCAAAGAATACACGAATCCACTTGAGGATTAACCTGCTTCTACCTTGTCACCCAAACATTTTCCGAACATGCAGTCTTTCAAGTCTGTTACCATTTGGGTCAAGCTGGAAGGAAAAAGTGACAGAGGATTCTAAGTTTTTGTTGCTAATGAGATAGAGGGTATGGAGTGCATATTTATCTCAATCTTAAACTCAATCATGTAACCACAGTTAAGATAGGTGACTCTGTGACTAAGACAGAAAGAAAATTATTTTGGTGATGACTTAACAGCTTCTTCCTGTACTTGTATGGATATCATTTATCTTTTTTTACCAGTCTTCCCACACATAAGTCACTTCCACTTTCCCAAAGGGAGCAAATCCAATTCCCAACTAGTTCCTATCTCAACAAAACTAGACTCTTCAAGTTATATTTTGTTTTCTCCATCTTAGTTTTTACACTGATTCCATAAATTTCAACATATACTTCCAGACAGATAGAGATCCTATGCCAACTACACAACAAATTCTCTCCTAGAACCATCAGAAGGTAATGCAACATACCTTACCATAGGATCAGAAGAGGTAGCTTTTCTTTTTTTTTTTTTTCTACTGTTACACAGCTCTTTCCAAGTCCCTTTAAGTCCTTTCTTTTGAGCTAGTTCTGTTAGTTCCTTTCGGAGGGCATAGCTTGCTATGTAAGGTCTTATTCCCTCTTTCTGGGAATCAGTCATGCTAGATAGGCAAGCAGTCTATCCTGAAACACTTCCAGCCCTGGATTTTACTTTTTCTTTCTGTTTTTTTTCCTCTCTTGGTTGGTATTGGGGTTTGAACTTAGGGCTTTGTGCTCTGCATTTGAGCCACACTTCCCCAGCTCTTTTTTTTTTCTTGGCTCTTATTGTTTTATTATTCATATGTGCATACAAGGCTTGGGTCATTTCTCCCCCCTGCCCCCACCCCCTCCCTTACCACCCACTCCGTCCCCTCCCTCTCCCTAGCACACCCTCAATACCCTGCAGAAGAGGTAGCTTTTCTAAGTTGAACTACATCATCGTGTCTTGCTTCTAACAGAGTAACAAGTTTAAAGACTTTTCATTACAGAAAGACCAAAAGTCAGACAATTCAGTGAAAGATACAATCAGGACATAAATTTTAAAGGTCTACTCCTCAGACCATCTTGATTATAAGAGAAATTTTAGCATTTTCCACCTAAGAAGCCATGAAAAGTAACTCACTAAACAGAAATTGAATGTTTCTTATTTAATAATTGCAAAAATATTGTTTCCATTACCCATGGAACTACACATGGCTGTATTTCTCTCAGGAAAGTGAGGATGACAGCTTGCTTTATATAATTCTGGCTGAAGGATATACAAGGTAACACTATGAACTCCAAATCATGACCAAATTAGAAGACATTATTATTGAAATAATAAAAGTATAAGGTCACAATGAAAGTCTTTATACTACATGTAATAATTTCACCTCCAAGAAAAATCAGTCTGTGACACACATATAGAAAATGGAATGGTCACATCTACAGGGATTCTGCAATCACAAGGAGTGGCTGGCTTAGAATGGAGCCAGTGCACTATGAGGCACAGTGTAGATGCAATAAGAAGAACCAGAGACTGAGCAAACTGAGTCCCAAGTAAACTGAAGCCAGTCTGCCCCACGTGTTTTTACTTCAAATAAATTTCTTTTTCAAAAAAGCTGGGAATGACAGTAATATGACAGTTAACACAAAAAAAAAATTTATTGTACATATTCACAAAGTCATATGTAGTATAATCAGGAGATTAAAGAGTATACACCAGCAAAGTAGCCAGACATAAAACATGCACAGCTTTTTCATGATAGAGAGAAAATACATCTCTACCATTTATATATCTGACAGTTGACTAAGCATACCCAATATTTGAAGTAATTTCCAATTCCAAAAATAATTTATTTAGGTGCTGAGGAAATTTAATAGAATATTTTTCTATTTCCATCAACTAGTGTCTTCTTCAAGTTCTTTCTTCAGTGTTTTATACTTTTCATTATAGAGGTCTTTCACCTCCTTGATGAGTTTATTCTTATATATTTTTGAGGCTAGTATGAGTGGGATTATTTTCCTAATTTCTTTCTCAGAAAGAAATTTATTTGTATGGAGAAAGGCTATGGAGTTTTATATGTTCCTTTCATATTCTTCTACAATTTCTAATAGTGTTTATCAGGTCTGTTTTCTTGTAGAGTCTTATAAGACTTTTCCAGAGACTTTATATCATTTGTAAAGCAGAATAACTTTATATCCTTACCAACTTGTATCACTGTTATTTATTTTTCTTACCTTGTTGCTTTGGCTAAGAATTTCAGTACCATACTGAGTAACAGTGGAGCAACTAAACACATTTGTGGTGTTCCTGAATTTAAGGGGAATATTTTCCGTTTATCCCCATTTAGTATGATGTTGGATATAATTTTGTCATAAATAGCCATTATTATCTTGAGGTATGCTCCTTCTATTCCTAGTTTTTTTCAGGACTTTTATAATGAAATGATATGGAATTTTGAGAAAATATTTTTTCTGCATTCATTGAGAGGATTATGTGATATTTTATCCTTGATTCTCTTTATATGTTACCTTTATTTATGTTACTGTTTTAAACCATTCTTGCATTCCTGGAATAAAATCAACTTAAACATGGTATACATTTTTGAACGTGTTACTGATTTTAATTTGCAAGGACTTTTTTTTTTTTCATTTTTCTTTT